CAGGCTGGTCTCGAACTCCTGAGCTCAAACAATCCGCCCGCCTCGGCCTCCCAGAGAGCTAGGATTACAGGCGTGAGCCACCGCGCCCGGCCAGCTGTTGATTTATTTTATAAATAATGTCTTGAGTACCCAGATTCCAGTTCATTACTAATTAATACGACTATACATGCTGGTACAGGCTAATCCTACCTCAGACCTGGATTTTTCATATTATGATGATCTCCTTTCCAGACCTCATTTTTTCCTGATTTCGTGCATCTCCAACTTAACCTCTTTCATGCCTGCTGTTTTCCACAGCTGCTGCAGCGGAGGTTTAACAACAGAATCTGGGAAAGACTTGTCAGCCTTCTCGAGGCCTCAAAGCTGCCTTTCAAAAATTAGCTCTGTTTTAGTGGAAACATTAAAAACAGTGCTTGCATCTTCAAATGCTCTTTTTATTCAGTAAGCATAATTGAAGGACCACGGAGATAGGAAGCTCTTACCAAGTTAGTTTTTTTTGAAGTGAGGTCATAATTCCAGAATATTCATGTATTCGTTCATTCAACATGCCATTATTGAGAACTGATATGCTAAGAAAATTAATGTGAGTTATTTTTAAAGTGAGTAGACAAAAAGATTTACTTATATCTTAGGCCATTTGGATGCTATAACAAAATACTATAAACTGGGTAGCTTATAAACAACAGATGTTTATTTGTCACAGTTCTGGAGGCTCAGAAGTCCAAGATGCAGGAGGATTGAGTGTCTGCTGAGGGTTCTCTTCCAGGCTCATAGGTGGTGTCTTCTCGCCATGTGCTCACGTGATGGAAGGGGGAAAGCAGGTCTCTGGGGCCTATTTGCTAAGGCTCCACCCTCATGATCTAATTACCTGCCAAAGGCCTCACCTAATACCATCATGTTGGGGATTAGGTTTTCAATATATGAATTTCAGGGGTGATACAGACATTCAGTCCTTAGTAACTTACGTGTGGTGACATACTTGATTTTTTTCTAAATGCAAGTCTGTCTGCCTGTAACCTATCTGTCTAATCATCCATCATTCCATCTATACATCTAATCACGCATTTTTTTCTTCGTAGGATTTGGCTCATTTGTGGAAAAAACTGTGATGCCTTACATTAGCACAACACCCGCTAAGCTCAGGAACCCTTGCACAAGTGAGCAGAATTGCACCAGCCCATTTAGCTACAAAAATGTGCTTAGTCTTACTGATAAAGGAGAAGTATTTAACGAACTTGTTGGTAAACAGCGCATATCTGGAAATTTGGATTCTCCAGAAGGTGGTTTTGATGCAATCATGCAAGTTGCAGTTTGTGGAGTAAGTGCATCCATTTCCTACAAAGGGATATCATTTGTATTATTTGAGTGAATTTTATGTG